AAAAAAGGGTTACTTATTTTGGAAAAATGATATCTATATTGAAAGATTTTAGGAAATTGCTGAGCATCTCAAGCTACAATCAAATACAGGTATATGAGGAAATAAGAATAGGGATGGTAGGGGGTGGGTTTTTGTTTGATTTTTTGGGGGGGTGGGAGGGTGTTTTTTTTCCAACCTGGATGTAGACATCCTGGGGTCCCAAGGCTTTCCAGGCTGATCTTACTCCTCTTATTTTGCTGCCGGTGGTGGTGGTTGGTAAACAGCTCCGTCGTTAGGCAGGACCCTGGGGAGCTGCAGCTGCTCCGGCCCCGCTCCCCCGGGATGCTCGCTGGAGGGGGGGATAAGCAAGGCAGCAGTACATTTTATTTCCACTCACAACCTGTTAGAGTGCAGTAATTCTTGCAAGGACCCTTCTAGTTTGGGGCTTTGCTTTTTCTAGACAGGCTGTATTGTTTTTAACAGAGTCATGTATCAGCAAGCTGGGTAGTCTGTATCAAGAAGTCACGTATTTTTTAATATGTAAATAGGAAAGGATGGTGTTTCATCTTTATTCCAATGTACCCAGGGTGGCAATAACGCTTTTTGAATCCCTGTGAAACAGATTGTATATGGCAAAATTAATGTCTCAACTCTCCAAGTATTTTCTCTAAAATATTTGAATTTTTGCATTTATTATGCTGCTTGTTTAAAATAGCGAACGATATCAGCCGTGCATTCAAAGCTTAATTGGTGGAACACAGATTTATTCTAATTTAAAACAGTCACTTAAAAACAGTTTTGTATATATGTATACATGGGCACAACTTTTCATACAGTTGTCTGTTTTGGAGCGGTCTCTTCGGCACTGATGTACAAGTTGAGCCTGTTTTCTTTTGTGCAACATGGCTTTGAGAAATCATTAGTTAAAACAGTATTCTGTCGTTTCATTGCAGTCAGTAAACAGCCGAATGCGAGTGGTGCACGAGATGATTGAAGTTCTGCCTTTGATCAGGCTTTGAAATGTATTGTGCCAGACATAGTCCCAAGGTGTATGTGTATCTGTGCATGGATGTATATACATGTTGGTGAAAGCAGCTTTAATGAAAATCTGGCCAAGTAACAAAACGACGTCTTCATCAGCAATTGCCACTGCAGGACGGTGGCGGGAGAGCAGCAGCAGAACTGCAGCCGTGTGCTCATCCGTGGCATCCGCCCCAGGCGGGGCATGGCTGGCAGGAGATGCTTTGGGTCATTTTCCTCTTTTTCAGTCACATTTGTCATTTGTCATCATTTCCTCAGCCACTTCCGTTGTGTCCCACTCCTTGCCATCGTTTCATAAGGACTTTTCATCTGCCACCCATTTTCTTCTTGAAACTGGGCTCTGATGCCCCATCTGGTAGCAGCGGGGTGTTTTGCAGCTCACTGTGATGGCTTGGGGGGGGTTGCTGCGCTGATGAGGGTCGGGAGCAGGTACCCCATGCCAGATCCACGTACCAGTCCCTGACTCGCTCTGGTGGAGCACAGGAATTTCAGATACTTCTTGTTTTGCAGCCGCTTGCCTTGTCTCCCACTGCACCTTTTCTCATTCCCCTGAACACGCGGTCACGTACCTGCTAGCCGTCAGGTTTGTCCTGCCCGTTGCAGAAAGCTCTCTCGTACCCAGGCAGCCCTTTGCATGGGCTGGCGTTTCCAGCCTGTGCCACGCGAGCACTGCTGGATGTGATGCACCGTGCTGTTCCTTAGGTCACAGCGTAAACTCTTGGCAACTCTTATTTAATTGCATCAAGTGCTGCAGCAGCCAGTTTTGTAGTTTGATGTATGGAACGATGCTCTTGGCTTGCTTCAAAAGCCCTGGGAACAGCTGGATGCTGGGGTGGAGATGTAGGAAGAGGGCTGGAAGCATCAGGGAAAGGTGAGGGTGACAGGGCTGACCTCACGCTGATGAGATGAAGTCCACAGTGGTCGACCAGATCATCTGAGCTGTGTGCCTCTGCCTTGGAGATTTAAACAGTGAAATATTAAAACTTGTCTTTCGAATCTGTTCAGCATTACAAAGATTAATTTTTGTTGGGGGCAGATTAATAGGTTTCCTATTCTGATTAATACAGTGATAATAAAAACGTTGTGATTGCTGGAATTAATGAAGCCCAGGTTCCCGCTTCAAGGTTTGATTGACTTTGTACTTCAGTTATGCTAAAGCTGCTGCATCTCATTGCCCCGTATTTAGCTGTAGCCTTCGGAGAATCTGTATGGGAGCAGGGCAGCGCAGGAGAAGGTCTGTGGTGGAGTCGCATCAAAGAATTTGTTGGGGGAGAAGTTTTGTGAAAGAGTGGTTGAGAGTTTTGCCCATGTTGCAGCGTTATTAGAGTTTCTCTCGTCTTTAACCCAGCAGGCTATTTTTGTGAAAGTTGTAGAAGAGGAGTGTCCAACTCAAATGTGTGGGCGCATCATTAAAAGCTTCAATTTGTCAATGCCAGATCGAACTCGAGTGCGTGGGTAGATCATTAAAGGCTTCAGTTTATCAAACTGATCTATTATCTGTTCTTCTCCCTCCTCCACTCTTCCCGTCAGCGCTACATGTGGTTTCCCCAGGCTCTCCAGCGCTGAGGTCCACAGAAGCGCCTGAGCTGCCTCCATGTCATGCTGGACCCCTTCCTGGCACGGCTCAGCCGGGAGCTGGCGGCGTGCCGGTGAGCTGGCTGGCTGTTGGAGACAGCAGTTCAAATGGTTTTGGAGGCCTCCAGTGGTGCAAGCCCCAGAGTTAATGCTGTGAGAATTCATGTCTTTGGGAGCAATCTGCTCCCCAAAATCCCAAGGGATTCAAAAGGTGCAGTTGGAGCTGGGCACGTAAGGTGATCACCTAAGCCTTGTTCCCTTGGGAAACATGGCTGAAGAAACGTTTTGTGGAATGTTTTGGTGAGGTCAGTTTTTGGTGGCGTAAGAAACATCCGTTTTTCCAGGTGTACCGTCAGAGCTCAGGCCAGGCTGGGATGGGATGTCTTTACCTACTCCCAACACCATTTCTTGTTCCTTGTGTAGAAGCTCTCATAGCTTTCAAATCGCTTGTTGGCACAAAGATGCTGAGATGCTCCTTATTCTTGAGGAGGGATGTGAAGGAGAAGAGCAACCTGGAGGTGACGATAGTGCTTCTGTACACCGTAGCCCTTGTCTGCTGCAGACCAAATACATTATTTAGACAAGTCATTTTGCCTCAGAAGTCTCAAAAGAACATGAGATCTTTAGAGCAAGCATTAGCCAAAATGAGCCTCAATTCCTCATCTTCTAAATGGGGCTAATGATGCTTTCCTGCTTTACGGACATACCATGGATAAAGATTACTAAGCAGTCGAATACTGTGGTGCAGCAGGTCAGCTGGAGAAATCTTGCCCCAACATGTGTAGATGCAGCTTTCTGCTCGGCTACATACCCATCTGCATATCTGTCATCGAGCGCGGCACTAAAGCGAGCCTCGGATGTGTGTTTCTGACACTGCTCAGTTGCTTCTCTCAAGTGCTCTGCTCCTCATGAATGAAATACAAGTGGCGCAAGACGTGGGTCACTTTTGGTTTGCAGGTATTTCAGAGTCTCTGAGAAAGAAGTCCTGGTTAGCATAAATGCTGTTTAAAACCCTATTTGGATCTATTTTTGTTGTGTAGCACAGTTTTACAATAGGGTCACATAATCCCTATATTTAGATTTCTGAACGCTTGTGATCTTTGAGCTGTTGCGTTGCATTCAGCAAAGAATGGGAGAAAGCCCCAGGGCCAGAGAAGTACCTGGTTTTTGTCGTGCAAAATTTCATACAGTTGTTGCTAAGATGGAAACTTCCAGATGTTCCTCAGGAACAGTGGGCTGCCAAAATAATTAACTCCACGAGGTTAATTTGAAGGTGGCAGTTCTTGCCATTCCCAAAGCGCTGGTAGATGTGGAAAGGCTGGGAGCAGCTGCTGCATTGGGGACGCTATGGAGGGAGAGGACTGGGGAATGAAGAGGTCGGAAGCGCCACACATGATTTTTGCCATCATATTTTTTTCCTACCCCAGTCCCTCAGGACATTTTCATCTGTTGCAAAGTTTGTTTTCTCCCCCGGGGTTTATTGCTGCAGGTCCCTGTTGGGTAGCGGTCCAGAGGCTCCCCCGGGTGTTGGTGCATCCATTAGGGCATCCAGTGCCCTACTCCAACCTGGGCAGGTGCTGGAGCTGCTCTTTAAATCCTGTGTGATTTCACGGGTGCGATGTTCGGGCACCACAGCCCTAGGAACACCTCTGTTCGTATTTCTGGCTGTGAGTTTTTACTCTGTGTGGATACTTTGCCAGTGAAGAAATTACACATCTTATTTTAAAATACCCTTGTTAGTAAAATGGATGTTTCATTTGTACAGCGAGCAGCTTCCTCTGAGCTAAGCTTAAACTCAATCTGTGTTACTAATAGCTGGGGAAAAAAACCCATACTAATTGGTATTTCTTAACTGATGTTTGCAAATTTTGCCTTTTCACCCTGAACATCAAATAGTTTTTATGTGTGTATATATTCCTCCTTATCTCGGAGGAATGATTATTGCTAACAAGAGATTCTACATTTTGTTAAGGTTTTATCAGGATGCAGTGAGTGAAGGCAGAGAGTAAATATTTCAGAAATTCAGAGACTGTTATATTTTGATAATGCAAAGTAGGTTAAAGTATCTGGATTTTGTGCACAGTGCCATGTTTTTGAGCAGAATATGGGTTTGGATGGTGACACATTTTGGTATGTAGAAGGAACATAGGCAAGCCTGTTGGAGGAGCACGTTGGAAATGTGAAATGAGTGTGTCTTTATAAACCTTTCGTAATATTGCAGATTTTAGTTTTATTTAAAGCCAAATAAAGTCTGCTGTGTGATAATCTTTGATAGGTAGAAATACCCCTGTAATGCTCCCCCCACCTCCAGCGTTTATAACCACCTTTTATTTTCAAAGGAAAATGGTAGGCTTTGATATGATTCTAACTGAGTGAAGTTCTAAAACGTGCTTTTTGTCTTTCAGTCTCCCGAGAACATTTTTTCTGAGTGACTCCGGCTTCCAGACACATTTGCCATGATAAGGGTTTCGATCCTTTCCCCTATTTGCCCTGAGTCATGAGTGGATATGTGTGATGCCTGCAAGTAAAACTGGTGAGTCGCCAAACCCGAGTTTGCAGTAACTCTCACTTATTCTTTCTTACAATCTCTCTTTCCCGCACCCTTTTCTCCCTTTTCTAATATGGTGGGGTTTGGGTTTCTTTTTTTTTTTTTTTTTTTTTTTTTTTTTTTTTTTTTTTTTTTTTTTTTTTTTTTGTACTGTCTGTGCTTAAAAGCAAGTCACCACTGTTCTTTAAAGAATAAAAAAAGCCTTCATTGTAATGAAACAGCAGTGATAGCAAATATTATCAATACAGAGAAAATACTCCCTTCCTCTCTTTCTTTTCTCCATCCCCTCAAATCATATGAGCTAGGAGGTCTTTGGTGCTGAAGCTGGAGTTCAGTGATGCAGGCGATGCTACTGCCTGAAACTGAAGTCTTGCAGATAAACCGGGTCTAAACATGCTTATGTGGGCAATTCGTGTCACGATTAAATATGAATACGGAGAGGTCTCCTCTCCATCATGTGTCAGACGATGGACTCTCAAAGGAACCATTGCCAACAAATAATTAGCTCCACCGTTTGCTTCACTTGCATGCCAGTGACAAAATGGTGTCACCAGTACACAGGAGAGCTGTCTCATCGCTTGCGCTTGCCCAGTTCAGCGTGGCCTTGGTGCTGCGATGCCTGGCCTGGAGGAGCACAGGGATAGAGCATTTAATAGCCAATTTTGGCCAGGGTGCACTTGGGCAAGCTTGAGGGGGTGGTGTGGGATGACCCCTTTCCTGCTAATTTGCAGTTGCTATTTCCCTGTGCCGTTAGCCAGCCAAGAAGCCTCTTGGTCCCTTTTGTGCCCAGCGAGTGGTGGTTGTTCCTTCCCTGGCTGTCGCTGTCCCCCAGCAGCCTGGCACGGGGAGCATTCCCGTGCCCTCTCGTCTTTCCTGCCTGATCCTGAATGCCTCTCTTATTTATTAACCGGGGCAAGAGGAGAGGCAACATTTATTCATTAATCAGAAGAGGTTGGGAAAACAGGAATCATCTGATTTTACAGGAGAACTGGAAGGTCTATGTAAGAAATCTTTTCAAAACAAGGAAATCTGCATAATTAAATTGCGTAGGAAATGGGAGCACAAATTGTTTTTTAAAATAAATTCAGGTTTCTATTACATATTTAATATCCCTCTATGTGTTAGAAAGTGCATTTCAATTCAAAGATTATAAAACCCGAGAAAGTCACACATCAGTGAATTGTGATTTTTTTTTTTTCTTTTAAAGTTTCCATTTTTTCTTTTTTTCCAGAGGTAGCATAATTACCATGTCATTTAGCAAAGATTATAATAGCTGTTCAGTTTTTACCGACTGGTGTAGTAAACAGTTGAATAAACCCATATGGCAGCTCAAAGTGTGCATGCAGGAGGGAGATTCTTACCATTTCCTTCATGTCTGAATTGCCAACCTCGCTGATACGACTGAGATCCCCAAACAGGAACCAATTCCAGACTGCTCCAGTGATGCAAAAATTTCTCGCCACTTTGTCACATATGAATCAATTGATCTTAATCATGGTGGTTAGCTTATTAATTGTTTCTTTGTGCCTATGAAATACACATGGAAAACTTGGGGTTATATGTAAGGTACGTGTCTCTATTTAAAGCAGTCTGTGCATTTGCTTAATACTTCTTTAATAACTGTAACTAATGCCTGGAGTCCCAATCTTACTATCCAAGTCACTATTAAAGTTCAAGGTCCTGCTAAGGCTGGCATAGGTTAAGTGTGACAACAGGGGATCTTGCGGTAGCCCCGTGGCGCTGCCTGTAGTGGGACTTTGTGTCTGGTCTCAGCGGTGGCAAATGGAAGGACTGGGGTGTCTTGAAACATCTCCTTGACATACCAGATTGAGTTATGGAGGAAGGGAGCTGTGGCCAGCCAGCATCCAGAGTAAAGACAAAGTGTTTGAGTAGCCTGCCCTCTGGATAGCTTCAGTATTAAAAAACAAAAGCAACAAAAAGAAGGATTGTTAACTCTCTCCAAATGCTGGCTTGAACAAAGAAAAAGATTTGCGCTGTTCCTCTTAAATTCACTTACTTTCAGTTATCTTAAAATTTTCATGTCGCATAATAGCTTTAAAATATCTTCTGAATGCATTAGACCCTGTAGGTGCTTAGAAAATATTGCAAAATAGTAATATGAAATGACCAAGCATTGAGCAGTCCCACTGGAAAGGAGCAGTTGGCCAAAACCGGTGCTTGTGTTCATCTTAACCCTGATGTACGACCAGCCCTCCACCATAATTCTATCAAGAGATGGTAAGTTGCCTAGCAATGTGCTGACTGCAGAGGGTACGTGTTGAGCTAATTCAGTTTTTGTTCTCGTTTTCCTTGAGAGTTCAGCTTAAAGGAGTGATCCTTTCTCTGGCTGCAGCAAGAGCCACTTCTTGGCGGTCTCTCTTGTTCCCCACTCGAGTGTCCCTGGTGATGTCAGGAATTCATTCACTGCTGTACACGTTTTAGAAGTTTCCAGCTTATTGAGTAACCAAATGTGGTTTCTGCTGATTGTGTTGGCTGAATACGTAGGGCCTTTCGAGGAGGCAAGAGTTTTATTTAAAGCAGAGCGTTTCGTTGTATACCATTTTATGGCAGGCAAAGGTCATCTAGGGTAAGCAGCCAGAACAGTGAATTGCCTCATTGCAGCACCTAGGAAAATGAGACAGAAAGATACGGTAAAAGGTTTTAACAAATTGCTCATCGTTATAAATTTTTGAAGTCGAGGAACTGGTGCTGTGTACGTTTTTAAATTGGGGATAACCATGCTTGTACGATAAATTGAGTTAAGAACAAAACAAATCAAAATAATGGGGTGGTACTAAAAACCTGGTCGCACAGCGAGTTGCCGGCGCAGCGTGCTGCCGGTGCGGCTTGGCGCTGTGCACACCTTGCTAACGCAGTGTTAGAAACCTACCGTGTCCCTGGAGGGCCGGAGGCATTTCCACCAGGCTTCGTAGTGACCTTTTCTTGCAGGGATGCCCCGCTCCTGCCGCAGTCCTCTCCTCTGGTGGACGGGCTCCTGGTTACACAGAGGGCTTTATCTGCTCGTGATGCTTCTTGTGATGGCCAGGGAGCAAAAGCCGAAGGGGTTTGTCCACAGCCGTGGCGCAGGAGTGGGTTCCCCCAGGTCAGCGGGTTGCGCTAACCCAGATGTGTGTTGGTGGGACGGGGGGGAGTGGGGCAGAGCTCCAGGAGCCAAGCCTGGCGTCCCCCGGCAGAGCTGCATGGCAGGAGAGGTGGCAGCGGCCCGGGGTGGCACTTCTGTCCTCGCAGGATCTCCCTTGCTTCTTCAAGCATCGGTGACTACAGAAAGACTTTGTTTTTCTGAAACTTTTCTGTCCATGGAACTTTCTCTGTGGCGGGGAGGGGGGGGAGGAGAGCAGAAGCAATTTTAACAATTTAATATACTACATAATATGTTTTATAAGCTGGTGTGAATGCTCCTAAGTATTTTGGTCTTTTTTCATAACACAATGAACCTAATATTGGTAAAAATACAGATCTTAGCTGCCACCATAAAGAGAGGCTAGATTTAATAAACAGTTATGAATGTTGGCAGCTGCCTATCAGATTGTATAACATCGGCTATAGCACATGAAGACAGTGTCAACTTACATTTTATCTCAGAAGTATTTTCAAAGCATTTATTTTGCTTTCTCTTGAGTCCTTAACCTAATTCAAGTTATATAATTGGCGGAATATTTTTCCACACCGCTAATTGGCTGGGTGCCAGCGTGGAAACCATTGTCTGACTTGATGATGATCAGGAATTAACATGACATTTGCGTGGTGGTAATGGAATACATTAGTAATGTAATTCATGACTGTAAGAAAGAGACCATCATCTCCCACCTCTGATCAGCAGGAGGGGCTGGGAGGATGATGAAATGCTCCCAGCAGGCACCTCACAGCAGTGGCTGGCCAATCTCGATGTCAAATTTAGTTTTAAATTCTTCAGACAAAGCTGTAATGCTTACCAATTAATTACTACAAATGTCAATTAAAAATCTACCAAATAATACAGTAAGATTAAATTTCAATTAAAAAAATTACATTTAACAAGGAAGATACAACATTATTTTAATGAATTCTGCTGAAGGTGACAGTTTATCTAGATATATTTATACTGTGTAGGTGGATCTAAATTCATTGGATGATGTTAACCATGTTACTCCGTGTACATATTAGTTTTGAAAATGATTTCCACTTTGGCTATGTCCTGGAGGAGATGGGGGCATCAAGGGGCATTTCTCGTCACCAGGAGAAAGGGGAATTTCATGACTTCTAAGTGCAAAAATCTGCTCGCACCTAAACAGAGGGCTTTATTGTAGACTCTTATCCTGGCCGAATTGGCGGTATTTTTCATTTCTTTCTATCTATGAAACCAAATACAGAATTCTTGTTGCGGTAGTAGAGCAAGCCCTGACTTTGCTATGACTATAATGACTGCTTGGGACAATTTTTCAAGTCATCTGTTTTATCATACAAATAATATCCATTGTTCCGATAAATCACTTAACAGGAAAAGATTTTGCTGTTTAAAAGTGGTGAACTGTAAGTCCTAATAAGCAGAGCTTTGATCTGCAAGGCTTCACCCTGGTTTAGTAGAGTTTTTGAGCGCATGCTTAAATTTAATCCCTTAGTTAATACGCTGGATGCTTAAAGATAGATTTTGAATGGGGAGTGGTGCAGCGGAGATGTCACGTAGCATGACGAAGTGCTGAGTTTGCGCGGATCACAAGCGCGTGTACAACAAACTCTCGTAAAACACCAGCACCTCCTCGGATGTGGAGTGTTAGCAGTGCAGAGCGGATTTTGTGGCTGGAATTCTGTGTCGCAGTCCCTGTGTTTTTATTGAACAGGGCAGTTCTTAACGCTGCTGGAGATGGAGATGCCGGTGCTTTGGGAAGGTGTGAGAGCCTGCACTCGCTGGCCTGGTGCAGGGGCAGAGCTGGGGTGTGCAAGTGCCTATGCTCCTGGTATTAAAGCATTTGTGAGCCAAGGCCTCT